ATAGCCTTTCTTTCAAAAATAATTGCAGTAAAAAAAATATTTTTCACTTTAAATATTTTCTTTCATATTTAAAAGTATGTACAAGTATCAACCTAGCAAATCTACTTCTATTATTTCTAAGGACATAATAATGGTTATGTACAAAAATTAAAATGAAAGAATATTAATCCTTTTAGATAAAAAAAATAGAAGCAACCTAATGCTTAAATAAAAGGAATAGATTTAATAAACTATACTACATTTATAGAATACACTAGTCATTAAAATAATATTGTAGAACAAATGGTTTCATAAAATGAACTACTATACAGCAGTGAAAAAAACGAGTAAGTGCTATGTGTATCAACATGGATAAATTCCAGAAATATATTTTGAGTGAAAAAACGTTATAGAAAACAGAGTAATTTACTGTTTCTATTAAGTTTAATAACATTCAAAACTACTGCATGTTGTCTGAGGAGATATACATGTGTGGTTCTTTCTGTGGGGAAAGGAGAATGTGACAACAGGAACACAATAGCATAGGGATTTGTCATTTTTTTTTTTTTTTTTGAGACAGAGTCTCACTCTAGCCTGGGCAACAAAGTGAGACTCTGTCTCAAAAAAAAAAAAAAAAAATCTGACTGTCATTCTGTCTCAAAAGATGGCTGCTTATTTCACAGAGGAAAAAAAGAGCATTAGACAGTATTTCAGCTTTAATGTACAGCCATCCTTTCTTCCTTCTCCCTTCCCATACTGCCTTGCCCTTTTCCTTGTCAGGGCCAAGCCTTCCCTCATGCTCTCTCCATCCTACCCTCTCACACTGTCTCAGGAACTTTTCCCAGTCATCCTCTGGGTCTGCCAGCTCTTCTCAATTTCTCCATAGGACTGAAGGCGGAGGGCGATGTGAATCCGAGGGGAGTGGGTTCATATTTTCTCTCCCCCGCCCATATCACTTCTCTGCTCTAAACTTTCTAATATTTTCCCATGTCACATGTAATTCCCAAATCCTCATCATGACCCCAAGCTGCCCCACCCCACCTCCACCACCTTTCTCACCCCATGGCTCTTGGTTCTGGATCACTCAGTTCTAGCTATCCTGCTATTTCTCAAACATTATCACCAAAGCTCCTGAACCTCGGGTCTTTTTACTTGCTGTTCACTGTCTGAAATGTCCCTTCTCATTCCCTGGCCACCTGCAGGCCTCTGCTCAAATGCCTGCCTTATCAGCAAAGCTGTCCCTGACTGGTCTCCCCTAGGTGAACCCTCTGCAGCGGCCCCCGAACCCACCACCATTCGCCTTTACAACACTTACCACCACGTCATACATGTTTTGTTTACTGTCTTTTCCACTCTTTTCAAAGTAAATGCCATGAGAGTAGGGGCTTTGCTTTATTTACTACTATTTCCCTAGAGCCTAAAACAGTGCCGGGCACACAGAAGCTGAATGCTGCATGTGTGGAAAGGGAAGATTCCATTTTTAGCTTGAGCAGCTGAACTAGTGCCATGTCCCATGCTACAGAAGACTGCAGGGTGGGGCTCGAGGGCTGCGGTGTGGCCATGTGAAGTTTAAGGCGCCAGGAGTTACTTGTAGAGGCCACTACTCTCCAGGTGAATTCATTCCCTCCCTTGCCTTTATTACCGTCTATATGATACTGATTTTCAACATTGTATCTGCAGCCAAGAACTTTTATCTCAACTACAGATTCACGTAATTAACTGCCTACACAGCCTCTTCCTGTGGATGACTTGCACAGGCACCTCAAAGTCAGCAGGTCTTAAACTGAACTAAAATCCACTCTTGATACACACGCTAGTTATTCCCCCTCCCCTACAGTGTCCAATGGCACCTTAATCCACCTGGTTACTCATGCTAAAAACCCTGAAGTCTTTCTCAGCCCTCGAAGGCAGATATCCTGTATCAAATCATTTGCCAAATTCTGTAGATTTGCTTTCCTCAGTACCCCAAGAATGTGTTCACTTCTCTCCTCCCATGACTTCTGCCACTGTTTCCCTCCTGGACAGCTACGACAGCCTCCCACTCCTCAGTTCTCCTTACTGGCTCACGCTCCACCTTAACACAGCAGTCACTACATGCTGATCTGAAACACCTATTCAATAAACATATTACAACCACGAAGATTGTTTTGTTTGTTTTTTTTTTTTTTGAGACAGAGTCATTTGTTGTCCAGGCTAGAGTGAGTGCCGTGGCGTCAGCCTACCTCACAGCAACCTCAAACTCCTGGGCTCAAGCAATCCTCCTGCCTCACCTCCCGAGTAGCTGGGACTACAGAATGCCCCCCATGCCGGCTAATTTTTTTATATATATATCAGTTGGCCAATTAATTTCTTTCTATTTTATAGTAGAGACGGGGTCTCGCTCTTGCTCAGGCTGGTTTTGAACTCCTGACCTTGAGCAATCCGCCCGCCTCGGCCTCCCAAGAGCTAGGATTACAGGCGTGAGCCACAGCGCCCGGCCTTGGTTTTAGTTTTGACACCGGGAGTGTCTAAATCCAAAGCACGATAATGCCAAAGGAAACCCCCCCACACCAGTTTTATATATCTGTTTTAGTTTCTTGAAAGCTGTGTTTCTCACATTTCAGTTTAATCAACTGCAAGTTATTTTCAGACGATACAGTTGTCTTATAAAAATATCATACCTGAATAACAGCACTAAACCAACATGTATTGCCAACATTTTTCAGCCCAACTGGCCAACCATCAACTCTCCTCCAGTCATTGGGATTGGGATTTTCTCCCCAGACTTCACAGCGTTTTCTCTTTGAGCGCTTAGTTTCTGCAGAGGTTGCCTCGTGCATCCTATATTGTGCCAACATACATCAAAAAAGAAAACAGTTAAAAAACAATACACTCTATGGAGGATGTTGGTAACCTTTCATAGGTAATTCAAAATGCCAGAAAAACTATTTACTGGGAAGCACTAGCTATATTGCAACTATAAGATTATAATGTAAATGAAAAGCAAGGTTTAAACATATAAATCTTTTTTTTTTTTTTTTTGAGACAGAGTCTCGCTTGTTGCGCAGGCTAGAGTGAGTGCCGTGGCGTCAGCCTAGCTCACAGCAACCTCAAACTCCTGGGCTCAAGCGATCCTCCTGCCTCACCCTCCCAGTAGCTGGGACTACAGGCATGTGCCACCATGCCCGCTGATTTTTTCTATATATATATATTAGTTGGCCAATTAATTTCTTTCTATTTATAGTAGAGACGGGTCTCGCTCTTGCTCAGGCTGGTTTCGAACTCCTGACCTCGAGCAATCCGCCCGCCTTGGCCTCCCAGAGTGCTAGGATTACAGGCGTGAGCCACTGTAAACATATAAAACTTAATCCTTCCATAACAGAGACTATTACTATTAAGGTCCATGGTGGAACTGAGTTGAGACTCAAGACTCTGTAAAGCTACCACAATAAAAGGTTCAGATCTCAACAACAGCACCCTAAGATCCTGCCATTGAAAGGGGCAAGAGAGACACCATGCCAAAGATAGCAGCCTCCAAACTTCCAAGCACACAAAACATGGCCCTGTGTTTCCCTGAAAGGAACATCGTGGCAGTGTGAGGGAATAAATATGCCTAGAAACTGACAGGCCACCACTGGAACAAGATGTTTGTGAACAATACCAGACAATAACCAAATTAGTACCAATTCGAAAAATATAACCCCTGGTCACTTCTGAGACAGGGTACTTGAGTGATACCTTTTGTTTAAAAATGCCCAAAAGGGCCGGGCGCAGTGGCTCACACCTGTAATCCTAGCACTCTGGGAGGCTGAGGCGGGCGGAGCGCTCAAGCTCAGGAGTTCAAAACCAGCCTAAGCAAGAGCGAGACCCTGTCTCTACTAAAAATAGAAAGAAATTAATTGGACAACTAAAAATATATAGAAAAAATTAGCAGGGCATGGTGGCACATGCCTGTAGTCCCAGCTACTCGGGAGGCTGAGGCAGAAGGATTGCTTGAGCCCGGGAAATTGAGGTTGCTGTGAGCTAAGCTGACGCCATGGCACTCTAGCCTGGGCAACAGAGTGAGACTCTGTCTCAAAAAAATAAATAAATAAAAATAGAAATGCCCAACAGCAGAAGCCTCAAACTTTGTGAAGGGAATATACATTTATCAGATACCTGGACAAGGCTGTTATTTTTTCCCCCTTAGCAGTCGTGAACTATAAAACCTTACAAGGCCGCGCGCGGTGGCTCACGCCTGTAATCCTAGCTCTCTGAGAGGCCGAGCAGGCGGATTGCTTGAGGTCAGGAGTTCGAACCAGACCGCGAGCAAGAGCGAGACCCCCGTCTCTACTATAAATAGAAGAAATTAATTGGCCCAACTATATAATATAGAAAAAAATCAGCCAGGCAGGTGGCGCATGCCTGTAGTCCGCTACTCGGGAGGCTGAGGCAGGAGGATCGCCTGAGCCCAGGAGTTTGAGGTTGCTGTGAGCTAGGCTGACGCCACGACACTCACTCTAGCCTGGGCAACAAAGTGAGACTCTGTCTCAAAAAAAAAAAAACAAAAACACCTTACAGACTTCTACTCAAACATTCAGGCTATAATAAGACCCCTCTATCTTTGGCTTTGTCAAAAGCACATCAAAGAGTAAGTAAGCTAATGTGAATTCAAAGTTTCCTTTAAAAGGAATTTCATTCAGGTGCCATTAAAGGAGCTTGGTAGAATTATTCCTGAGTGGCATTCACTGAGCTATTGCCTTTGACCTACACACAAATGTGGGGAGCAAAGATCATAAATTAAATCAATAACCTGTTAAGATCTCTTCCATCAGCTTGAATTTTGGGGGACTCCAGGAGACTCAGAGCAATGGCAGCCTGAAGATCATCTTTGTTATCATGAGTAAGGTCTATCACTTCTGCAACATAAATACAAATTTAATTAGTCTACATGCAGGAAATGCTGCCTTTCTGTCTGCAGTATAAGAAAAAAGGTAAAGACATACTCCCTAGCTCTCACTGCAATTGCTCACCCATGTAACAATAATTTTATTACTCTAAGCTAGAGTCAAATGAATAATTTACAGCCACATTGTAACCTTTGACTGGGCAATAGTACAGAAATAACAAGTTGCTAAAATGCAATGATTCAAATACCCTCTTCTGTGCTGGTCACAATGGCTCATGCCTGTAAGCCATCCTAGCACTCTGGGAGGCCGAGGCAAGAGAATCACTTGAGCCCAGGAGCTCAAGACCAGCCTGGGCAACACAGTGAGCAAGACTCTATCCCTACAAAAATTTTAAAAAAGAGCCGGGCATGGCAATACATGTCTGTAGTCCCAGCTACTCAGGAGGCTGAGGCAGGAGGATTGCTTGAGCCCAGGAGTTCAAGGCTGTAGCAAGCCATGATCACGCTACTACACTCTAACCTGGGTGACAGAGCAAGAACCTGAAACAAATACCCTCTTCTGCAGTCTCACTTCACAAAGTCAAAAGTATACCCCATATCTGTAGGTTAAACAGTCTATCATCATAAAACATCAGGTAAATATTAAACATCCAAGAACAAGTATTTTCAATCTTGCACAAACTATTCTAGAGCATATGGACGTAGTCCTTAAGTCATTTTATGAGGTCAGCACATAACACCTAGTATATCATAAACTAGTCAAGAACACTTAGAGAAAGGAAAAATTCATGCATGATCACAAATGCAATATACCTAAACAATATACTAGCAAATACTATAGAATCCAATAATGTACCCAAAATATTACATATTAAGACCATGTTGAGGTTACTCTAAGAATAAAATATTGAGTTAACATTAGAAAACTGACCAGTAAAATTCACTATCTTAACAGTTAAAGGAAAAAATGATCATCTCAATAGATACAGGAAAAGTATTTGATAACATTCAACCTTTCAGGATAAAAACTCCAAGGCAATTGGAAGAGAAAAAATATATATTCTTAGGCTGAGAAAACCTATCCATGAGAAATTTATAGCAAACTTCATACTTAATGGAGAAATGGTAAATACATTTGCTTTAGACAAACATTTCTACTGTCACTGCTTTTATTCCTTATGAAGCTCCAACCAGGAGCAATAAGAATTTAAAAAATAAAAAGATTGGAAATAAGAAAAGCTGTCATAATTCACAGATAATCAACCCAAGAGGGAAATCCACAATTACATATAGAAAACAGTGAGCCAACATGCCACACAATTACTAATTGGTTAGATAAAAGGTCAATATACAAAAGTTAAATGAAGTTCTACACACAAGCAACAAAAAACATTTAATTTAAAATGAAAAAAAAAAGCCGGGTGCGGTGGCTCACGCCTATAATCCTAGCACTCTGGGAGGCTGAGGCGGGCGGATTGCTCGAGGTCAGGAGTTCGAAACCAGCCCGAGCAAGAGCAAGACCCCGTCTCTACTATAAATAGAAAGAAATTAATTGGCCAACTAATATATATATAAAATTAGCCGGGCATGGTGGTGCATGCCTGTAGTCCCAGCTACTCGGGAGGCTGAGGCAGAAGGATTGCTTGAGCCCAGGAGTTTGAGGTTGCTGTGAGCTAGGCTGATGCCACGGCACTCGCCTGGTCAACAAGCGAGACTCTGTCTCAAAAAAAAAAAAAAATGAAAAAAAAAGTACAGATATTATAAAACTGTGGTATCAAGACTGTGTGCTACCAGTATATGGATAGACACAAAGATCAATGGAATAGAATTTAAAGTCCAAGCCTAGCATATAGGCATGTACCTGTAGTCCCAGCTATTAGGGAATCTGAGGTGGGAGGATACTGCTTCTAAAAGATATTTTTAAAACAAACAAATAAATAAGAATTTAGAGTCCAGAATAAACCTTTATATTTATGGTCAATTGATTTTCAACATAGGTGCTAAGACAACTCAATGGGAAAGAGTATCTTTCTAACAAATGATGCTGGGACGATTGGATATGTACATGCAAAAGAATAAAGTTGAATCCCTACCTAACACCACATACAAAAATTAACTCAAAATAGATCAAACTCTTAAGATAGGAGTTTTTAAAACAATCAAACTCCTAGAAGAAGACACATGTAAATCTTCATGATCTTCGATTAGGCAATAACATTTTAAAGCACAAGTAACTAACAGAAAAATATAGATAAATTTGACATCAAAATAAAAAAACCTTTATGTTTCAAAGGATACCATCAAGAAAGTAAAAACATAACCTACGGAATAGGAGAAATTTTTGCAAAACATGTATCTGATAAGGTACCTATATACAGAATATTTAAAGAACTCCTACAACGGAATAATAGACAAATAGATGAATTTAAAAAATGGGAACAGAATCCCAATAGACATTTCTTCAAAAAAGATACTATATAATGACCAATAAGCACACAAAAAAATGCTCCACATTATTAGCCATCAGAAAAGCACACATCAGGCCGGGCGCAGTGGCCTCACGGCGCTGTAATCCTGCACTCTGGGGAGGCCGAAGTGCGGCAATTGCTCTAGGGTCAGGAGTTCGAAACGAGCCTGGAGCACAGCGAGACCCGTTCTCTATTATAACAAGAAATTAATTGGCCAACCTAAACATATATAGAAAAAATTAGCCGGCATGGTGGCGCATGCCTGTGTCCAGCTATCGGAGACTGATGGCAGCAGGGATTTGCTGTGCACTTGAGCCCAGGAGTTTGAGTCTTGCTTGTGAGCTTAGGTAACGCCAGAGGCACTCACTCTAGCGCTGGCAACAAAGGGCGAGGCTCGTGGAAAAGAAGGCTCTGTGGAAAAGAAGGGGAGGAGAAAGAAGAGGATGAGATGGGAGGGAGGGGAGGGGGGGAGGGAAGGAGAAGGAGGAGGGAGAGGAGGGCAAGGGAGAGGGAGGGAGGGAGGGAAGAGAGGGAGGGGAGAGGAGGGGAGGGGCGGACAAATCAAAATCACCATCACACTCACTAGGATCACTGTTATCCAAAAAACAAAAACAAAACACCAACCAAGCCAGGTACAGTGGCACAAGCCTATAGCCTCAGCTATTCAGGAGGCTGAGGCAGGAGCATCTCTTGAGTCCAGGAGTTAAAAACCAGTCTGAGCAATACAGCAAGACCCCATTTCAAAATAAATAACAAACCAACCAACCAACCAAAAAAAAAACAAGCAAAAACAAGTGTTGGAGAGGTTGTGGAGAAACTGGAACCTTTGTGCACTGTGAATAGGAATGTAAAATGGTGCAGCTGCTTTGGCAGTTTGAAGAAGTGAGTTTGAGAGTTCTTCAAAAAGTTAAACATACCCATAAGTATGCACAATTATTAAGTGTCAATTAAAAACAAAATAAAGGCCAGGCCCAGTGGCTCACGCCTATAATCCTAGCACTCTGGGAGGCCGAGGGGGGAAGGATTGCTCGAGGTCAGGAGTTTGAAACCAGCCTGAGCAAGAGCGAGACCCCGTCTCTACTATAAATAGAAAGAAATTAATTGGCCAACTAAAAATATTAGAAAAATTAGCCGGGCATAGTGGCGCATGCCTGTAGTCCCAGCTACTCAGAAGGCTGAGGCAGCAGGATTGCTTGAGCCCAGGAGTTTGAGGTTGCTGTGAGCTAGGCTGACGCCACAGCACTCACTCTAGCCTGGGCAACAAAGAGAGACTCTGTCTCAAAAAAAAAAAAAAGAAAGAAATCTAAATGGTTATTAAGAAATGGGATGAATAAAAGACACTGGTGGGACACTATTAAAATCTTTAATATAGCACAAAAGTAGGTGGACCAAAGGGAGTCCCTGCTGGTTCCCCAACATTAAAGGGCTTCAAACAAGTCTGCTGCACTTACCCCAGTTTGGAGACATTTTTAAAAGCTGAAAGGCAGAGATTACAAAGAGAACACTGAGCAGAAATTTCATGGGGCAATACTGAGGCAGGTTAATTAAGATTGATAAAGAGAAAGTCCAAAGAGTCCCTTGCTGAGGACCCAAAGCCTTATGTACAAAAGTGGGTAACAGGGTCACGGGGAGGAGAAGAAATTTCTCTGGGGCTCCTTGACACAGGAGCCCGACACACTGTGATTTCAAAATCTACTGATAAAGTCCTAATGGAGGCTACAGTCAAGAAGGTAAGGGTTGGCCGGGCGCGGTGGCTCACGCCTGTAATCCTAGCACTCTGGGAGGCCGAGGCGGGTGGATCGCTCGAGGTCAGGAGTTCGAAACCAGCCTGAGCAAGAGCGAGACCCCGTCTCTACTATAAATAAAAAGAAATTAATTGGCCAACTAATATATATAGAAAAAATTAGCCGGGCATGGTGGTGCATGCCTGTAGTCCCAGCTACTCGGGAGGCTGAGGCAGAAGGATTGCTTGAGCCCAGGAGTTTGAGGTTGCTGTGAGCTAGGCTGATGCCATGGCACTCACTCTAGCCTGGGGTGACAAAGCGAGACTCTGTCTCAAAAAAAAAAAAAAAAAAAAAAAAAAAAAGAAGGTAAGGGTTGATGGAATAAAGGTAAAATTTTATACGAGAACTGGTAGATTTGAACTTGCTTCATGTAAAGTGATCTCAATAACACCTCTTTTATCTGACAGTACTATGGGGACAGACATTGCACCAGCGTGGGGAATGTTCCCCCATCTACGACTGTAAAACAGAAGGCATGTAAAGCTGCCCTTCAAGTAGTATTAATTGAACATGCTAAATGAGAACCAGTAAGATTCCACCATCCCACATGGTGTAGAACAGAAGCTGTAGTGCTGGTAAGGACAAATTCTCCATTTGATAAGCCCTTTGTGTGGAATGTTTACTAAGGGCTTATAGCAAAAGCCCGTGAGTGCCTCCCAGGGGTGACTACTGGGACTTTGGACTAGAGAATTTCCATTTGAGGGGCATTTATTACCTTGTTATCAGACATGAATTGAAGCTACCCCTATGAATGAGGACATAAAATGATCTTCAAACCTGAAATACCCATGCTGTCTTGGGTGATGTCTCAATGGGGACAGCAGTACCCAGAAGAGTTCCATAATAAAAAGGAAATGGTTTATACAGAATCATGCTACCTGGGGAACACAAGGAAGGAGTCTGTTTCTCCCAGGACTGACTCAGGAGCTGCTGGATTCTATTGCCACTTACACAGTGCACCTTAATAAACCACTCTGGAATGATGAAGAGCTGTTTAGTTTATGGATGGTAGTTCCAAGGTGAATGGACAACATTCTATTTGGAAGGATGTCACTCTGATTGAGGAAGGTAAAACCAAATCAACTTGGTGAGCTGAATTGCATGATGTTTCCCTAGCAGTGATGGAAGAATTACTGACTCATGAGCAGTGGCCAATGGCCTAGCCACATGGTCAGGCAGGAGAGCAACTATGAAGTGACCTATTCAAATGATGCCTGTATAGGGTACAGCCTTATGGAAATTTGAGGGGTACATTAAAGTAAAGCATGTCATACCCACCAGAACTCCCTTAAGTAAGTGGAAATAGGGGCACTGCAGGCCAGGCATGGTGGCTCACGCCTGTAATCCTAGCACTCTGGGAGGCCGAGGCAGGTGGATCACTCAAGGTCAGGAGTTCAAAACCAGCCTGAGCAAGAGCGAGACCCTGTCTCTACCAAAAATAGAAAGAAATTAATTGGCCAACTAAAAATATATAGAAAAAATTAGCCGGGCATGGTGACGCATGCCTGTAGTCCCAGCTACTGGGGAAGCTGAGGCAGAAGGATCACTTGAGCCCCGGAGTTGGAGGTTGCTGTGAGCTAGGCTGACGCCACAGCACTCTAGCCCAGGCAACAGAAACTCTGTCTCAAAAAAAAAGGGGGGGGGATACTGCAGCAATGCAGAGACAGGCTGAATCTAGACATATTCCTTTTGTACCCTCTCAGGCACAAAATGCCAATAAGAACTGTTCTGTCAACAAAAGAGACAGCCGGGCGCGGTGGCTCACGCCTGTAATCCTAGCTCTCTGGGAGGCCGAGGCGGGCGGATTGCTCGAGGTCAGGAGTTCCAGCCTGAGCAAGAGCGAGACCCCGTCTCTACTATAAATAGAAAGAAACTAATTGGCCAACTAATATATATAGAAAAAATTAGCCGGGCATGGTGGCGCATGCCTGTAGTCCCAGCTACTTGGGAGGCTGAGACAGAAGGATCGCTTGAGCCCAGGAATTTGAGGTTGCTGTGAGCTAGGCTGACGCCACGGCACTCACTGTAGCCTGGGCAACAAAGTGAGACTCTGCCTCAAAAAAAAGAAAAAAAAAAAAAAAAAACAAAAGAGACAGCAGATGGCTATGTGGCAGATGCCCTGGAGGGAAGGCCCTGAGCACAGCTGGCAAGTGAGACTGATGCTGGTAGCCCTAGGAGGCTACTTATGGGTCCTAACAGATAATAGAAGCTGACTCTGAACTGGACTTCCCTTGAAGATGCAAATGTGCAGAGTGCTACAGAGAAACCAGAACAGAACCATTTAAAACTTTCCACCTTCCTGGGATAAGCCCTTGGATTCTCCTTTCACCACTTTTGTGAATTAACTTAATGTTTTCATTAGCATCTGGTTAAGACCTATGAGGCGAAGCTAAGACAGCATTTTACATCAAGAGAATGGGTATTGATTTCCCAATCTAAAATTAATATAATAAATTTGAGAGCAATGACTACTCTCAAACCCTGTTAGTGGGAATATTAATAGGTAAAAAATCATTTTGGAAAATACTGTCATTATCTGTAAGGTTGGAGATGAGCATATCATAATACCTAACACCTAAATCGCTAGGTATATACACTAAAGAAACTTGCATACATGCACAAGAAACATGAATTCGTGAATACTTCACACCAGTGAAAACAAATGAACTACAGTTATAACCTACAACATGTATGAGACTCAAAAAGAACAATGTTGACTGGAAAAAGTTGCAGTGTATACCAAAAGACACATACAAGAATATTCACAGCAGCAATATTCAGAATAGCTCAAAACCACAAACAGCCCAAATGTCCATTAACACCATCTGACCCAGCGAATGGTTTCCTCCTCCTGGAAGCCTCCTTGGTTTCAAAGTTCCACTCTCCTGGTTTTCCTTGGACATTCTCACCTCCCTAGACCTCTCAACACCAAGAGTATCTAGTGCTTAGTCACTGAATCTTTACTCTTTCCTTCACCCACTCTCTTGGAGAGCCATCAGTCCCACAGCTCTACATACCATTTATAGGCCATGGCTCCAAGTTTATCTATCTCCAGCCTGGATTTCTCCCTGAACTGTGCACCTGGGTCTATGCTTTTGACATCTCCACCTGGATCCTTTACCTTAAAAATACTACATGCAGCCAGAATGCAAGCACTTCTCACCCCTCTCCCACTGCATCCTGGCCCAAGTCACCAGCATCTGCAATGGCCCCTTGACTGGTCCTGGGCTCTTTGATCTGACCCACACTCTTCACCCTCCTCCCATATTCTGTTCTTACACAGCAGGCAGAATGATATCTAGAAAATGGTAACCAGTTTACATCTTTCCTTTGCTCCAAACTCTCCAAAAGTCATCCATCTAACTCAGAGCAAAAGCCAGAACTTATATGAAGGCTCTGCATTATCCACCTCCTGCTTCCTTCACAGCCCCATCCCTTACTGCCCTCCTCGCTCATTAAGCCTCAGCTCTGGCATCCTTGCAACTCCTTGGGCAAGCCAAGGCGCACCCTTATCTCAGGGCCTTGCATGACTTATTCTCTCACTTCCCTTGCACCTTCTTAAAAAGTCCATCCTATTTGAAACCCAGTCCTCAGCACGCCTTTCTTCATTTCTTTCATTCTGTCCTTTTATTTTTCTCCATGATATTGAGCACATTCTAATATGCTATACATTTTATTTATATACTTATTACCTCCCCCCACAAATAAAACATAAGTTACACGAAGGCAGGGATTCACTAGTACTTGGCACATAGCTGGTGCTCATTAAATAGGTGCTAAATAATTAGTGAATGAATGAATAAATGAATGAAACCATTGAAGTGCTTGGAATTATGCCTAGAACACAGCAATGACTCAATAATTAGCTATTATTATCATTATTATTATTATTTCCTAAGGGTTGATGTGATTGACAGGGAACTCACGTACACTCATTTCTTATTTTCTGCTGCTGTTCAATGAAGGACCAAGACAGGATATGCTATACCTACTTGCTAATACCTCCTTGTTGGCAGCGCTCCCCTCTACTTCAGATGGTTCTGTAGCAACAGTGTCTTGACTGGGCTCCTTAACTCTCTCATCAGTGAGAAGGCTGACTGCCTGTCTTATGTCACCATTACTGGCCTAAGGAGAGAAAAACAACAGAAATGTCCAAAGTAAAGCATCATAGAATTTGCAATAAGTAGTGAGTTGCTTTTTTTGGTTATAACTCCTTACCACCCTGTTGACACACTAAGTAGTTCAGGCACAATTCTAGGGTAGGATATCGAAAAAAGAGAGCATGGTGGACATGCCATGAAGCGTCCATCAAACACCCAGTTACAGGGAGCTGCCACCTGATTTCCCATTACACACAAACAAAAAGGAAACCCCAAGAGAGATTTGTTCTCACTGCTCCAGATACTACTGCTCCTGGTTTCACAGACTAGTTAAGGTATTATGTGTCTAAAAAGGAGGTTGGCATTAACAGAGAGATTATAAATGAAGTCAGTCTCTACAATAAAAGTGTCAAGCAGTTACCTATTTTTTAATAGTGAGCATATTTGTTTTTAAGTTTTTATTAGGAAACATTTCCAATGCATACATCAGGAAAGTGAATAATTGAGCCCCATGTATCCATCACTTAGCTGCAACAATTATCAAGTTATGGTCATTCTTGTTCTATCTATATTACCTTCCTCTCTCCCCTAGATATTTCAAAGCAAATCCTAAGCATCTTAAATCACTGGTCAACATTTCAGAATGTATCTTTTTTTAAATATAACCCACAATGCTATTATCACACCTTAAGAGTAGCAACAGTTTTTTAATAACCAGTTCAAACTTCCCTGACTCAAATATTGTTTAGTTTGTCAGTTTAAACCAGGATCCATAAGGTCTATACAATGCAATTGGTAGATGATTTTTAAATTTTTTTGATCCTGTAGGATTTTCCCCACCAAGAGCTTCTCCCATCCCCTTAAAATTTACATGTTGAAAGGCAGGGCGGTGGCTCACACCTGTAATCCTAGCACTCTGGGAGGCCGAGGTGGGCAGATTGCTCAAGGTCAGGAGTTCGAAACCAGCCAGAGCAAAAGCGAAACCCCGTCTCTAATATAAATAAAAAAAAATTAATTGGCCAACTAATATATGTAGAAAAAATTAACCAGGCATGGTGGCACATGCCTGTAGTCCCAGCTACTCAAGAGGCTGAGGCAGCAAGATTACTTGAGCCCAGGAGTTTGAGGTTGCTGTGAGCTAGGCTGACGCCACGGCACTCACTCTAGCCTGGGCAACAAAGTGAGACTCGGTCTCAAAAAAAAAAAAAAAATTTACATGTTGAAGATACTGGGTCATTTGACCTATATAGAACTTCTATCCCTCCATGCACCTTGGCATAAAAATAGCTTGAACTCACATAACTATGATATAGACAACTGTTTTAAAGCCTAAAGACTAATAAGGGTCTGGAAACCCACCTTTAGAGCTTCATGAAGAAAGGAAGGGTCCTGAATGCCTGTGATTTCTCTCAGTTGATTTAACAGCATTTGGCAGCTCTGTATTTGCAAAACAAAAAAACCATTGATATGTCAGTCAAAAAGAAAACCTGGGTGCACTTAAAGAATAAGTAAAAGCATCTTGGATAAACAGGCCTGAGACTTGCATTTTTTACTCTAAAGAACCAGCAAGCTCCAAATAACAAGGCACTGACTGTCAGACACATTCTGAAATGCCAAATCTATTACTCTTTTAAAAGTTTAATCGTGGAAAATACTTTTAGCACTTATGAAAGAAATGTGAGTGGACAGTAAAACTACAAATATATAAAACATTTAAATGTAATATTCTAGCCTTAATGGATGCTTAAAGTGCCTCAGGTTTTTCTTTTGGTAAGCAGTGCATAAGTAGGTCATAGAAGGAGTCCAGGGAATTTGCATAGATGTGAAGATGTGCTATTTTAAGCTTTACTGCACATGCCATTTGTGTGTGTCATTTTTCACTGACAATAAGTTTCCAATCATGTAATTAACCAATGATACCACCACCATCGTATTTTAAACTCTGGTTTGGATTACTTAAAAAGAAGTATGGCTAAAGCTAGAATTTTCTGATTATTAAATAAAATATATAATTCCAGAGGGAACAAACTATGGAATGTTTTCTCTTCATTAATCTGAATCATGGAAAAACCTAACTTGCTAACTTCCAGCTACCATAACAACAGTTTATAACCCCTTTTCAAACTTAATGTCTTCACCCTACCACTTTAGTGTACTCTGCACAAAACAAAAGTTAACACAAAAAAACACCAATTTATGCGTACAGCTTGATTTAAACAACTGGCTGGCCCAACTTGAGACACAATGATCTTTTGGATCAATACTAAAAACAAAATATTTCAAAATTAATTCAGTGAGAAGGAATCTAATTTATGTCATTCCTCAGGTTACGCTAGAATTAAGTCCCAATTCAATACTTGATACTTCACCATTAACTATCGTTCAGTTGGTAATATGTCTCAAAGAGAGACTGTCTGCATTTACCGCCAGCTGTAACAGAAACAGTATCCTATGTTCTCCAACAGCTGAAGGCCCCATGCAACACTTAGAGTATGACACAACTAGAAATAACTAACTGAAACATCCCTCTAAAAGTCCTTCAAAAAGCATCAACAGTCTTTCTGTTCTAGTCATAGGCTATAGTCATAGGCTAGAAATGGAACCCTACCCTGCTGAGACCAGCAGTCTTTGAGGCTGTGAGTCTTGTCAAAGCCAGCCAGTGCCTGCGCACTGAGGGATTATCAGACTAAAAAGTATCCAGATTTAGCCATGGCAAAAGCTGAAAACACAAATGTGATTTTCAGAAAAATGTAGTATTATAAATTTTTTCCCAAACGAATTCTAATTCCATTTCATTTTACTATGTAAAAGTGTATGAATCTAGGTATCTCAACTACACACAGTTTTTTAAAAGACCAACATCAATATCCCCCAAAAAGAGTGGAATAATTGGAAGGCAGAATAAGTAGCATATTAATATTAAAATGGAACCAAGAAGGTAAGAGTGGGATAATCACATTTTCATCTGGAATTACTCTGTATAGCAATTAATACCTATGATTCACAAAAAATAATCCCAATAAAAATTAACAGCTAACATCCACTGCTCATTTTTAGCCAGGTACCGCTCTAAACACTTAGCACATCTTAACTAATTAAACTTATTGAACTCTCTTAACAGGCCTGTGAAATAGGTATTATGCCCATCTGACAGCAAACTGAGGCACAGAGAGCTTAAGTAACTTATACAGATTGTTGCTAATAAGGGGTGGAGCTAGAATTTGAATCCAGCCTGACTCCAGAGCCTGAAATCTCTACCATACTGTGTCTGACAAGACAAAAAAATAGGCAAGAATACCTATTTAATGCAGAACAATGCAGATATTTTATTGTTGTATTTTTACCTTGATGTTTAAGCCTTAACAAGTTTCCTATTTTTTAAAAAATTTTGCGTTTTCATAAAATCACAAGTTTGATTACTTAGTAGTGCATCTTTTCTAAAGCTATCATCAGATTTAGAGAAGTAAATACTGTATTTACTAAATCTAAGGTGCCATCAGTTATAAACAAAGAAAGAAAAACTGCTGCTACTTAAACTATGACATAATAAATCAATCACACCAGCTTCTTAGAGCTCTGAACTTCTCATTTGCACTGAAGAATACAGCAACTTCCCCTGCTTCCAGGTGTACTGCCTGGCATGTGTGACAGCAATTCTTTTGCATGCCTCTCAGTAACAAAACTTAACACAGCTTAATACATCTGTGGTATCTTCCTTTCTAGGTCGCATAAAGCACTTAATTGTAGCTTTGCAAAAAAATTTGAAACTGCAATCATTCCTCCAAAAATAAATATTTTGCTTCATATAAAATCAAATGTGTCCAGGCAAGGTGGCTCACGCCTGTAATCCTAGCACTCTACCAAGTGAGGCCAAGGTGAGGCGGGAGGATCACTTAAACTCAGGAGTTTGTGACCAGTCTAACCAAGAGCAAGACTCCATCTCTACTAAAAATAGAAAAAATTAGCCAGATGTGGTGGTACCTGCCTGCAGTCCCAGCTACTCAGGAGGCTGAGGCAGTAGGATAGCTTAAGCCCAGAAGTTTGAAGTTGCTGTGAGCTAGGCTGACACCAGGGCACTCTAGCATGGGTGACAGAATGAGACTCTGTCTCAAAAAATAAATAAATAAGTAAAAATAAAATAAAATGTACACTCCGCTATTTTGTATTCATGCCTTTCTTCATACAAAGGTTTTTATTTTTTTCATTTCAATGTTGAATCACAGTGTAACCTTTTAAAAGGCATTTTTAAGATTAACCAAAAACATGCATGCAAATACTCACTGCAGCATTAATTATTGAAAAGAGCCAAAAAGTGGAAAGAATCCAAAAGTCTACCAACTGATGAATGGACAAACAAAATGTGGTATATCCACACAATGGAATAGTATTCAGCCGTTAAAAGGAATGAAGTAACGATACATGCCACAACATGGACAAGCTTTGAAAACATTATGTTAAGTGAAACAAGCCAGGCATGAAAGACAACATATTGTGGGATTTCCTTTATAAGAGATGTCTAGAATAGGAAATCCATAGAAATAGAAAGCAAATTAGTGGTTGCCAGAGACTGAGGAGGTAGGGAAAATGGAAAATGACTGCTTAATAAATATGGGTTTATTTCTGGAAGGAAAAAAAAGACATTTTAAATGGCAAGTAAATTGTGTTGTACTAACAGTACATATAATTTGACTGTCACAACAGTAGGAATACATGTACAACAATGACCATGTCCCATCTGCTACCTGGATTACAGTACATGTAAGGAATAGCTTGATTTCAGAGATGTTAGAATGCCAAATAAATGTGAATCAACAAATATGGTATTCAAATATTAATTCACTAATCATTTACAGCTGGTTTTGGGGTAAAATCAGTTACACTCCAGCATTCCCACTGCCCTTTCTCCACTTTGTAATAGGTAGGAGTGGACATTAATTACAGCTAGAATAATACACTCAGGAAAGGAAAATAAACTCCTGTTTTCCCTTTTTAAAAGGTATTGGGCAGAGATGACAAATAGTAAAATTATAATATTTTGTACAGCTGCAAAAACAATGTTCTACATGACAATTCAAATCCAAATTCCTCATCTTGCAATTTGAAGACTACTACCTAATTCCACCCTTAACCTGCTCAACCTTTTTTCCTACTCAATTCTTTACCTAACAAACTCATTCTCTCATGAATTGGAGTGTTGCCCCTACTATCACTAGTATTACCTCCTACATTGTTAAACTATGGAATGCCAACCTACAGTCAAGGGCTATATTCATACCACCTCCTTAAAGTCCTTCCAAGCACTCTGGTCCACCCCATTCACTCCCCTTTCTAATCTTCCACGTTGAGGAAACAAGCCTGTGAATGAATTGGTATGTTGTCTTTACCTGGCATTTCTCAGGTAATATGGTTCTCTAATTGTTTTGAATATGAAAGTCTTGCCACCCTTAAAGCAAGAATCATGCAAAAAAAAAAAAAAAGAATCATGCAACATACTGCTTAATTTGAATTATTTAAACAGTGCTGATAAGAACTATTTAACTAACACTTATTGAACACCCACTTAATGCCAAGAAACTTAGGTGTCTCACATGCATGTAATCCTTACGATGGTAGGCATTTGCGCGAATCAGGGAATTGAAGTTTACAAGACCTATTTATCATCAAATGTCTTGAATTAGAAGTTAAATCAAAGATAGCTATTAAAGTCTGAATAACAAATTTCACAAGGACTAAGCTATGTTATTGATATATACATACAACTGCTATGACATGACTGTCTTACAAAGATTTAGCTAAATTCTCAACAGTATCCACATCCCAAATCCTAATAAGTACTATATATAAATATTAATTTTACAGTAACAGACTTAACTAAACTCATCAGGATCCTACTGTATTATTAACTCATTTCTACTGAACATCACAAAAAGCAGATTTAAATATTAACTGCACTCTGACTACATTGCTATATACAAAGTACACACCCAACAGGAGACAAGACAAAGCCTGTCACAATGAAGTCAAATAACTGGCAAGAGCCAACAGGTTTGCACTTCCTTAGCTAAATTCACATTGTTTTCCCAAAACAAAAAGTACTCTCTTTTCCTGCCCAGAGGCAGTGAAAAAAAGACAGGTACACACAAATCTCTAGAAGGAAGGAGTTCAAGCTTTCTGACCTCAGCTACTCAGTGGTTTTGGTGCAATCTAGTCCACTTCTCAAGTCTGAGATTTTCTTAAAACCAAGGCACTCACTCACCTCACAAGAAGCAATAAACACATTAAGGATTATTCAGATAATAAATACATTAAGGTATCAAGTTTTTGTTATCAAGTAATAGCCTTTATCTTACTGCAACAAAGTTAAAACTCACTCTGACCAAATAAGGCAAAATTACTAATTACTAATTTTTAAAACATCTGAGGCCTGGCACAGTGGT